TTTTTAAGTTGACAGGACCAAATGAACGCTGCTTGCTATCCTGCTACCCCTTGTATTAAAGGGTATATGGCTAAAATTACTAGCATTTTCAGGCAGTAAACAGACAGGCTCAGCAGCTGCACGCAAGCTGCAAAAGCTATGCCAAGCAATCAAAGTGCAATTTTCCCAGGAATTGCACTTTCCACCCGATATTTTCAAAGCTGCTTCTAGAAAAAGCAACACAAACTTTTAGTACAGATGACGTAAGAAAAGTCAGATCGAAACCTTTTCCCTCTCGCGACCTCTTCGCGATACAAAAGCGGGAGAACTGGAGACCCAGGTGTTCAGACAGATTCAAAAACCATCCTGTAGTGAGGCGGCGGTCTAAATGGCAGGAGACGGGACCGCGAGTCCGCTTTAAAAAAAGAAGATAATTGCGCTGTGGTCCGTCTCACCTGAGATCGTGGTGGTCCCCGCTGTCTGCACAGAGTAGGCTTGCTGAGAGAAAGGCTTGATGCTGAGAGAAACAGAGGCAGAAGCAGAAAGGAAGCATTGTCACTGTACTTACATTATACAGCGAGGAAGTCTGCTGTGCGTCTTGTATGAACAGTAGTAGAAGCACAGAGATCAATAGCAGCTCCGAGTTCAGTAAAAGCTATACCAGCACCATTTCCAACCATTATCATCATCTCACGGGCACGTAAGAGCAGCAGGTGATGAAATGAAAAGGGGGTTTGAACTTGGTGCAGCTAGCCGTGTGAACAGAAACTAGGCCAAGAAACCAGCTTAAACATGTTGGAAATAAAATGTACTGTTATTTTCTAAGGAATCGGAAGATTCTAGAAGATTCCACTCCTGCAAACTAATCAGATTTATGAATTCTGAATTGCCACCTTGTTTAAACATCCATTTATTTATTCCAATTGCATGCATCTGGATGTGTCTGCGAGTTGTTATGATTTTGTCTGCTGCAAAAAAAAAAATGCATCAATAACTTTAAGCCAAATCCAGACTGACAACACTGAGAAATCTTTGTGTGTTTGAGTTCTGGCTTGTCATATTTCAAAAAGCACTTAGCAGTAAATGGGATGAAGCCTCTCTGACATTTCAAAAACATAGCGAGTACTCAGTAATAATGTCTACAGTGTGAGGGTTTACAAGTTCACTTAAATGAAACAAAGTTTCACTGTGTTTAGTACAGTTAGTGGTTAGTATGGCCACTGTAGGTGAAAATGGAAATTACAGAGCAGTTTAAGATTTAAAAAATTACAAATTTAGAAAACATCTCATAGATTTTGGGGGGGGGGGAAAAACAGGTCTTTTTTTCTCTTGGTCAACGAACTATATTGTGTTACTTTGCAAAGGTGTAACAACCTCTTCACACCAGTGCTGCTGCTGGTGCTTGACATGCGTTACGCCTCCAGTGGATGAACTAATCAAATTTTAGCCTTCTTAGCAATCGGATTAAGCCATAAGAAATTACCCGTGATTTTAGAATGACCTGTAAATTATCACATTGAGCGTACCATCAGAAGCATCCGGGCTTCACGGTGCTGTAAATTGGGCCTATTTAGAAGAAAACAACAC